AAATAAATTGGCATGTGAACTTAAAAGACTGAATAGGAAGCTCTGCAATGTATCATGTTTGATAAATGATTTGGGCCAGGCTAAATACATATGGCACTTGAAAAAAGTGTTCCAACATGATTTAATCTCTTAAATACAAAGCAGAATAAATTGGAATATGAGCTTGAAAGCGTTCCATCGCGACTTTATACCACTGTGGTTGCCATCTGACTTGCTGTATTGTATATTTCAAGTCTTTTTTTTTTTGTTAAACACAAAGATACGGGAGGGGAGGGCTAAAATCATTGTAATATAATGTAATATAATTACTACGTCTTTATATGTGTATATCTTAGTTTTCTATCCACCTGACTCATCTTATAAGAAATACCCAGATGTTTCCTTAGATAATATCTGGTACCAGCTCGTAATTGTTTTTAATTCTGCACGCAAATCTCAACTACTGATAAAACCTATCTACTTGAACAACAATACACTACTTAATTCAAGAGCTCAGTATCACTAGTTTGTTCAACGTAACAAGTCTACCCAAGGTAACACTGTTATGTGTATCACTTGTGTGTCTTATTTTTCAAACGTTGACACTCTAAAACAACTGTATAATACTCTATTGTGCTATATTCTAGTTTTCAAGTGTCCATATGACACGATAAAAATTAATTTGAATAACAATTTTTTTAGATGTTTCAATATTAGAAATATGGATTATATTGCTTTGTTTTTGTATTTATAGATATATACAAACATTGCTAGTATTAACTTTATAAGTCCATAAATATACTTTCTGTAGCATGTGTTTAAATTTCTAATTTACAATTACAAATTGTCATAAAATTTATTTCTTCTCAGACACTGTGGCTATGAGCCAAGATAACAAAATATTATGTTATTTCCGATTTTTGTGTTATATGTTAGTTGGTAAAGGTTAAAAGTTTAATTACCATTCAAGGCTCATTTTTATACAGTATGGATCGAGGTTTTCTCCTGTTGGCCGTTTTCCTAACTGCTATAACATGGTAAGAAAGTTTATGTTTATTAATCTTCCCATGTAGAGGATGATTTAAATAATACGTTCATAAATAATTATGTTTGGTAATTTTCAGTTAGAAATAGGAAAAAAAATCTTTGCTTTTTTATGAAAACAAGATATCGGCTGTTTATATATATTATATTTCCTACTAATCTAATAAGTGTAAAAAACGTTTTTCGGAAAAAGTTACATAGATATGCTCTATGGATACATTTATTATATACATGTATAATAAATTATACTGCAAATAAATTTGAATTCCTGGTAAAAGAAAAATTGGATTTTAACCCTATGAAAGAGATAAATTTTGAACTCCAGTTGATTTATCAAAAAATTGGTTTATATTCTATTCCAGAAAAACCGAGGAAAGATAATTTAACATTATAGGAAAGGAAATCACATACATACACACACACACACACACACATGTATATATATATATATATATACAGTTCTTAGGTAAATTATCCAGCAATGCTAACTACAATGAAGAAAATAAAGCATGCACAATTATAATGCGCATAGATCTGCTGAAATAATTACAACCGAAGTTGTTTTTTCTCTCAATAGTTTATTCTTCTTCTACTTCTCTTTTCACCCATGGGAGGTACAGTTTTTATTCCTGGCTCATTCCTGTCATCTAAGTAATATGAAATACTTAATGTTATACATGGAGTTTTTCTTAAAGCTGCCAATGTATTTAAACATATTCATAAGCAGTTCGTTGACGATTTCTGCAGTAGTACCTCAACGAGGAAATTATGAGATGACTTTAGTTTTATCAACATATGTGGCATTTGGCTATAAAAAGTGATTTAGAAATAGAAAGAACAGACAAGTTCACGACAATTTGAATAAAACTATAACAGTATCATTTCTCTATGTCATATAATATGTTTCAGTTGTGGTTATAAATGATAAATTATAAAGATTTTGAGTATCGCATTAAAATACCAATAATTTGAAAGATAATGAAGGGGATTTGTAGATTAATTTGTTATGTGGGAGTCAAGTTACTCCATCATCGGTGTCTTTATTTTATAATTTTTAGTTTTTCACAGTTAGAAAAGTTTGTTTGTTTTTTTTCATTAAAAGAAAACATCATCACAGTATATGAAATTTGTGTTTTTATATAGAACATCTGCATAAAGTTTGCTGCAGTTAATAATTATGTTGTTGTAATTAGCTTGGACATGTACCAAGGATTTGTACAGAAGTTAATGTAAGATTATAACTGTCATGCAGAAGAAAACAAGTGAAACAAGATCGACAAGGATAATTTGCCACACTCGGTAAGACATATACTGGATTATCAGAGAGTTGTACCGAAGGGAGTGAAACAGAAAAGTTCCGTTTAATTTAAGAGAAACGTGGAAAGCTGAAATAGTGTAAGGAAATGAAATCAAAAATTAAATTTAAAAATAGATAAAACAACTACTCTTCTCTTTTATTGTAACAAGCGGGTTAGATTAGTTCCTCCTTCTTTAAACATTGCCAACTCTATTGACAGCTCCATCTCGAACCTGATTCCAAGTTACACCAGGACACTCGGGCTTTTCTTCACCGCGACAGATAACGACTCAAAAAAAAATTGGCTCCCCACCACGTCCTTCTCAAATCTTTAAGACTTTAATTTTCAAAGCCACGCTTTCGTTTCCTTCCAAATAAACAATATTAAAACCGCGATTCACCTTGATACAATCCTAGACAACGATAGACTCGAACTAACAACTAATGCAGCTTCACCCAGGCCTCCTTCTATACTGACAGTAATTTGGGAATTAAAAACCCGGGTACTCGGAAATTAATCAATTCCCCTTCGCACCATCCATGCCAAACTGATATTACAAGGCGAGAAAAATATCATATATATGTACATATACACACATGTATAGATATTATATAAATAAATATGACTACTTCAAATAATAAAGATGAAGATGGTTGACAAAACACAAAACATTTTGTTTACAAGGTTTGAAAGTTTAGGAATACACTTATTCCATCTTCAGCGAAATCTGAAAACAGTGTTACACAGATATTTATTGACTATCACTGGTTAGTTAGTTATTGAGTAAAGTGATAAACGGAAGGATAAGAAAATATTACAGATTATATTGCGAAACAGTTGAGTTTTAAGTGTATAAATTTTGAATAATTTTACGTCTAAAGAGGTCTAAAGAGTAGGGCGGTCTTTAGCTATTAGTAAATTTTCTTTGATGCAGAGTTAAAGGTTTGAAGATCCTATAGCAATGATAAAAAATCGTTTCTGTATGTGAACGAATTGATGAGTGGCTGGGCTAAGTAACGAACGGTCGGTTCTGTTTGATACTCATAAATGTTCACAGACTCTAGTTTTCAAGTGGTTTTGTTTTGCCAATATACGTGACCCTACAGTCACTACACCGTTTACACGTATATTGATACATGAGTCATGAACTTAGATGTTTAGGTAGTTGGTCTTCATATTGAAATAAGTGGTTGATGCAGAGCCTAGGTTTATATATTAGTTTGAGCTGAATTTGAGGGTATAAGTTTTTTATTAATGGGAAGAGTTGTTTTTTTAACTTGTTACGATTGTGACCCCATAAAATAAAGGGAGATAATGAGGAGAATTTGGGGACGGTATGCACAGTAGCAGGTGATTGGAATTTGTTGTTTAGGAAATTGCTTGTAATATTCGTTAGAAAATCAGTCGAATAGCAATTATTTAATAGGCGTTTGTGCAAACTTAGAATTTCTCCGTGTAAAATAAAGTAATTGGAGCAAAGATTTAAAAGTCTGTTTAACAGTGTCATGACTAGATTATGTTTTTTTTTTTAATCGCGATAAACCTATTAAAATCATTATAAAAGCTTTTAAAAGTACTTTTACGATAAACAGAAGTAGAAAAATGTTTACCCTCTTTTATAATCCTGACGTCTAGGAACGATAAAGATTTATTTTCTTCAAGTTCGGATGAGAACTTGATAATGAAGTATTGGGGATTAAGGTAAGAAAAGAATTTAGAAACGTTACTCGATTGTCGAAACAGCAAGAACATGTCATTAACATAGCTTTTGAAAAGGACAGGTTTGAATTCACGTGGGCAGTTTTCTAACCATATGCGTTCATGATAGCATAGAAAACTATTAGTTATCACTGGACTCAGTGGGAATCATATAGCGATTCCATCTATCTGATCATAAATGACGTCATTAAAGAGGAAATGGTTTAACTTGTGGTGAGGGGTTTCAGAGGATTCAACGATCGACTTTCAGAGAAAGAGGGCGCTCAACTGCGACCAAGGAGATTTGACTTTTCTACTGTGAGGTGAGATCATTCAGTAAAAAGTCTAAAGGTAAAATTATTTTTTTATTTAATCTCATTTTATGTTTAAGTTCGACTTTCACTCTCTTTGACAGTTATGTAAGAGTTTTGATTGTTTAACAGCTTTTTTATGGGCTAATATTTTACTTTATGCTTCGAACTTTTAAAAACTAAATGCTAAAGCTCACGCCATGCACATAAGAGCAGCAGATCTGCTACTTTTGCCTGGCATAAGACTCAAAATGCTGCAACAGTCGACCAGTTATCCGGCTTCCAGTCCGACCAGCTTTTCATCAACACCGACTAAGATTCCAACTCCCGTTATTCTTCGTCGTACAACTGTCAAGACATCCTTAGAAAGCAAGCTATGCCACTAAACACAACCAGCAAGCCAACAGACATCAATCTCGAGCCTCCTCCAGCAGTAATTGTAGAAGGTGTTCCAGCACGATTTCGCCAGCCTGACGTCATCGAGCAGCTTACAACTTTGTTCTCCTCTATCAAGTTTTAACTGGTGAAGCATCTACGTAGGGGAGGAATTACCATCGATTGCAGCTACCCCAAGGAGTATTTTAAGCTACTCAAACCATGGGCAGGACAAGCATTTGGTGGTGCAAAGATCAGGGTCCACATTCCTGGAGAACCAGAACACTCCAGCATCATAGTCATCAAAGTATTAGGTCGTCAAGAAATTAATGTCGCTTTTTTAGATGAAGAAACCCTGACATCTTATATATCAAAACAAAATATAGATTAAATGAAATAGTCTCAATTCTTATTCATCTTACAATAAAGTTGTTAATGCCCTGATTAAAGAAATCACTTGGTTTGGTAGCAAAAAAAAAACATGTCGATGTCCTCTTTAACACCTTTCATATTTGCATACGTTTTCCCATTAAGATGGTGTTGCAGCGAACAAAAAAGATGGTAATCTGATGGTGTCAAATCTGGAGAATATGTCGGGTGGGGAGAACTTCCCAATCCAACCCCATAATCTTTTGTTGCGTCAAACGTGCCACATGTGGACGTGCATTGTCATGGAGACGAACACCTTTCCAATTGACGAGTGAAGGGCATTGCTGGTGAAGAGCTTGATTTAAACGTTCCATTTGCTGACTATAGATCTCTACATTGGCAGTTCGTTGTGGATTGAGGAGTTCGAAATAAATTACTCCTTTGATGTCCCAACAAATGCAAAGCGTCACTTTCTGCGGATAGAGTACAGGTTTTTGGGTCGTAAGTGGTTTTTATCTAGGACTGAGCCATTGTTTCTGGCGTTTAATATTCGCATAGAGAATCCGTTTTTCATCATCTGTGACAATTCTATCCAAAAATGGTTCACACGCATTACACGCCAGAAGAGACGAAGCAATATTCACGCGTTGGAAACGATGATTATCGGAGAATTCGTGAGGCACCCAAACACCTTCTTTATGGAGCTTTCCCATATTTCTTAGATGTTTACGTATTGTTTCGTGAGAGACATGTAATTTCTGGGTCATTTCACGAGTGTGTTGACTTGGGTTAGACTCGACAAGCGTCTTCAGAGCATTAATATCAATTCCAACATGTCAGCCCCTGTCATCGGAGTTTTTAAGGCTAAAGTCACTTGAACGAAATTTGCTGAACCATCGTTGACACTTACGAACGTTCAAAACATTTCCATAAACTTCTTTG